AACAGCTATTTCACATCACTTTAAATGGAATTGTAACAATCTAGGGCTTTTTTTTTTATTCTTGCAGACTAGCCAGCTTTTGATGGAGTCCAGTCTTTGGTAACAGTCACGATGAGTTTATCTCAGAAGTGCTGTTGTCCACAACAATCAAAGGTTCAGGACCGCAGAGCTTTAAGCTCTCTTTTTATACCTGGTTGGAGAAAGGAAGGGGAAATCTCTATATACAGTGACAACTTTAAATGTATCTATTGTATATATACTGTACAATGGTGTCCAAAATGCTGAGAAAACTAGTGAAAATGCCTCTGTTTTACGTGTATTTACCTTTTTAACTTACATTAACAACAAATTGTTTATACTTACAATTTACTTACTTTATATGCATTTTCAAATTTCAGTCATTTTCAGATTTGTTAACATTATGTTCATTTTCCCTGACTTTTATTTTGCACAAACATGCTCTTTTTGCTCATAGCTGCAGTCAGTCCACTCTGATTTCTGTGAATTCACAGACTATTATTGAAGCTCAAGGGTGAAAATACAAGCCTGTCCATAATGACCTTTACCTGTCAAGGTAGAATAATCAGATTTCACTCTTTGCTTCGGCAGGCCAGCAGACAGCTCACTAAAACTTAATACACAGCAGAGCTGCTCATTTCACCAGGCCAGATGAATAACAGGTCCAAAGGGCCCTGTCATCTAACGCTATGTAGTTCTCATCCTGTACAGCTATGTAGTCAGCTATTATTCAATATGAAGTGTAAGCAAGCCATAGACTTTAGTTAGAGCAGACACCATATTTAATCTGACGTGAACAGAAGTGAGGCTGTGAGAGAGTCCATTCAATATGTCGTACTGTTGCGTACGTGGAAGTTGATCGTTCAATCGATAAAACTGGAATGTCTTTCCACAAGTTTTCAGTGGATATAAAACTTAAGAAAATATGCATTATGAAGATGTGACACAGGTGCACTATTTCCAGGTACACAACAGTGAAGCATACTAAACTTATGTCCCTCTCATTCTCATTTTCATTTGCGAGTCAAAATCAATGTGGTGTTTACTAAATCAGTCGTTTCAACTGGTTTGTTTTCAGGATCCAGAATAATTTAAGCTGCAAAATTAAACAATCAAATTATTAATATTCTGCATATTTCCCACAATATGCAAAATAGACACATTTGGTTTCTAAACGTCTCTTCACTCTCAGCAGTGTTATTTTAGTATACGAGATACTATTATAGTTTTTGTTAATATTTTGAATGAGATTTTTTTTATATGTGACCCTGGACCACAAAACCAGTCATAAGGGTTAATTTTTTGAAATTGAGATTTATACATCATCTGAAATTTGAATAAATAAACGTTCCATTGATGTTGTTAGGATAGGACAATATTTGGCCGAGATACAACTATTTGAAAATCTGGAATCTGAGGGCTGAGGGAAAACAAAATATTGAGAAAATCGCATTTAAACTTGTCCAAATTAAGTTCTTAGCAATGCATATTACTAATCAAACATTAAGTTTTTATATATTTACGGTAGGAAATTTACAAAATATCTTCAATGAACATGATCTTTACTTAATATCCTAATGATTTTTGGCATAAAAGAAAAAATTATAATTTTGGCCCATACAATGTATTGTTGGCTATTGCTACAATTATATATACGTGTGACTTAAGACTGATCTTGTGCGCCAGGGTCACAAATATATTTTCAGATTTTTTTTTGTCTATTTTATTAGTTTTTGTTGTTTGTTTTTAAAGTGTATATATTTTAGTACAATTTAAACTAAATGAAAATGAGAAATGTTGCAGTTTTGCAGAAAAGTTTTTTATTTTTTATTTCAATAAACATTTATTTCATTTCATTTACGGAAATGTGTTCTATGGTTTTAGTGTTAGTTTTACTTTTAGTTAGCTATAATAATCCTGATTCTCAGAAGCTAATAATTCAATGCCCAAAATAAAAAACAGAACTACCAGACTTTGCTATAAGTTTGACTGCATCATATAATAATTGCTGTTAATAGTGTTCATCATCTGTTTGATTACGTCTTTAATTGATTTTTCCGTACATTTCTGCCATATGTACATAAACTGACAGTCACCACTGATAAGCTACCACTAAATATTATAGAAACTTCATTTTCTGTAAAGTCGCTTTGCAATGATTTGTATCGTAATTTAAAGTTGTTAATTAGTAATTATAAATTGTTAAGAACCTATTCAGTTCAGGTGCCAAAGTTTGTTGTTGAAATTATAATCGTGGCTGTTGGTCACATTTTGCTGCAAATTATTTAGTGGCAACAGACTCCAAGTAAACTTTATTGAATGATGTTAAAAAAAAATCAATAAACAGATAATTCTACATTTTTTTATTTGTCCAAAATACATTGTTCTTTAAATAATGTATTAAGACTGAAAATAAATTGAATGGATTTAACCGGATTTGCTTATCTGTCAGACACCATGAAGCATTACACTCTCGGCTTTGAGAAGAGTGAAGAAACAAGCTAATCTTCCAGGAGTTCAATATTAAGTTCCCGTCACTGTCAGACGGGGCGTGAGAGAGGGAGGGAAAAAGATTAGACTCTTCAGCACAGATGAACGTTAAAGGCTTATATTCCACCGAAACACATTCTCACATTGTTAATATGTGGATTAGGCCATTTTCTCCTTCCCAACAGAAGTATCAATATAGGAGTATAAAATGGCATAATGCAGCAGCTCTCCACTGCATTCTCGGCCTGTATCAACGCTGAGCTCGTGTTATTGTGAAAGAGGATATGGAGAGTGACTTCTGAGATATTCAATGCTTCTAACTGATTCCAGGATCTGTACCTGTGCATTAGTCTGCGTGTATTCATAGACATACATATTCAAGGCGGCTATTGTGTCAGTAATGTTTTCATACCGAATATCAACCGTGGGTTCTGTTCGGAGCGGTTTATAAGATTAAATGCTGTCATTCAAGGGAGAAACCTGAAATAATTTCACATTTTCTCCGCAATCAGTCAATTACGTTTCTCATTGCTTTCTGCATCTGTGATATCCTCCTCCTCTTTCAGTCACGAAGATGAGTTGTTTGCCACACTAAATATAAATTCAATGAATAATTTTATATTCACATAGAGCGATATTCCACACTCCGCCAGTGTGAAGCGCCACCTCTGCCCAGCCTGATGTGCATTCGAATGGATTTTTGCACCATTTTCATACCAAAACTGGGAGAAAAAAAGAAGAAGCTCCCCGCCCCCCCAGCAAAGTCTGGAGGGAAAACATTTTATTATTCCATCAAACCCAATCATATTTATGACCCTGCGCTTTCACGTAGGAGAGCGCTTTCCATTGCTCCATTGCGGTGTTATTTAAAATTTCATAAACCTGGTCTACAACAGTACTTATTTGGCCACACATTCTAATCTGCTCCTAATAAAGACATGCCAAGCAGAGGGTGTGAAAAACGAGCTCACACGGCGGTTGGCATGAGTAAGGGAGAGCGCTGGGGATAAATCAGAGCGGGAGACGTTGGAGACACACAGATAATCTCAGAGTGCCGCTGTGTGTTTGGTGCTCTCCTCTCATATACAGTGATGGGAAATCCATGCAGACTCTCGAAAGGGCAAGATGGAGGTGACTCGTATAAATGTTTGACGTGAGCAGTTTTTCAAAATAAAAGTTTGGAATTAACACCCAAGATGAGCTCAGCAAACTCATTCACTGTCTGTCACCGGTGAATTAATGTTTATTGACGGGGAAATAATGACACTGACTCACGAGCAGGCTTACATGAAATCTGTTCCTGCAGAGCTCCTCGGAAACTTCTGTCATTTATAAAATTCCCTAAATCTCAGACTCATTGCATATTCATTTATTATATATTGTGGCTAATTTGATTATGCTTTCAGCTGCTAATAAGAGTGTGGTACTCTCAGCTCCATTCAGAGGGAATAGTTCTCCCAAAAATGAAAATCCTGTTATTTTTCCAACCTCATCTTGTTCTAAATCCATGTATTATTTATTAATTTACTTATTTCAATATTTACTTATTTCTTGAAAAACCAACTTTGTATAATTTGGTCCATGTGGAAAGTGTTTTATGATATTTTTTATACATTTAATTAATGTATATAGACACAATTAAGTGTGTGTGTGTGTGTGTGTGTGTGTGTGTGTGTGTGTTATTGGCTACATTTTGGGGAACAATTGTCCCCACAAGTATAGTAATACCTAAGTTTTAACCTAATGGAGACATTTTTTGGTCCCTATGAGCAAAACAGCTTATAAATCATACTAAAGGAAGTTTTTTTTTTATTTATTATAATTTTTTTTTATCTAAAAATACAGAAAGTTTTCTGTGAGGGGTAGGTTTAGGGTTAGAGTTAGGGATAGAATATACAGTTTAAACAGTATAAAAATCATTATGTCTATCAAACGTCCCCATAAAGCATGGAAAATGTGTGTGTGTGTGTGTGTGTGTGTGTGTGTGTGTGTGTGTGTGTGTGTTTGTTTGTGTGTTTTGTGTAGTTGTAGGGCAATAGAAAATACGGTTTGAACAGTATAAAAACCATTACGCCTATGGAGAGTCCCCATAAACCATAAAAACAAACCTGTGTGTGTGTGTGTGTGTGTGTGTGTGTGTGTGTGTGTGTGTGTGTGTGTGTTTACTATTTTTTGTTAATTTGTTTAGGTTGTTGAAATGGAAATTACTGTCCATATTTTATCTTCATAATGTTTGACCAATAAAATAGTGTTACAAAAATATTTACTTATTATTTTTACATTTTTTTAATTCTTAACTTAAATTGTTTTTACTCGTGCACACCACAAATTTTTACGTCAAAATCAGTGCAGAAAAATGCATCTGGACCTATACAATATATTAGAAACTTTATTTAAATAGGTTCTTTTACATTATGGTGGTGCAATCTAATGCATTCAAGTCTCTCTTTTGTTTTTCTATTGTCCTGTTTGTGTGTTTCACCGTATTATAGACCACGGATGACATGGTCTCTTCGGCCGAATGCTCCAGTGACGACGAGGACTTTGCCGAGTGCGAAGGACATGCAGGTGGGCTAGGTCAGTTGAATTTTGCTTGCCTCTATGTGGCGGCCTTTCATTTGCAACTGAGGATCAGATCCTCAAAGCATCGCCTCCCCCCATGGATAGAAAAAGTGTAACTTCCTTTCCAATCCAACCCATGTACACCAATATAGAGACATGAATATAGTAGGATATCTTAAGAAATATTCTAAACAAAACAGAAATAGGCATGGATTTATAATGCTTAGTCTATTCAGTAGCCTTGAATCAGAGCTGATGTCAAATCATTCCCCTCAAACTTTTATTACGAGCTACACTTGGCCATGGGGTTTTCCGAAGTGGTTAACATGGTCACACTGATTACTAATTTTGTCCCCAGTGCCTATTATGAGAGCATACGTACAAAATTAGTACAGAAAAGTGACATGTTCTCTGCATTGATGCTTCAAAATGTATCATACTGAGGTTTCTTTGCCATGTGATAGTGGACTGCATTTTGGCACATGATACATTTTGAATTTCTCTTGAACTTTGCTTTCAGCCTTATAGTAGAGTGATATCTATGAGATTAATTGCTGTTGAAGCAGTCTTTTCGATTCCTTTCTGTTTCCTCATTTCAAGAGGCTTGATTTAAGTTAACTTGTTGTAATAGAGAACAGATATCATCGAATTTCTGTGTACCAATTTTTGTTTTGTGTCGTTATGCTTATTTTTAACGATATCATTTTGCCTCAGTGTGAACAAGTTGTTCTGCTAATATTTTCCAACCCAAATATGAAAAATACAATTCAGTGATTAGATTGATAGTGAGAAAGAGAGAGATTTGAGAGAAGTTGGGTATTGGCTTCTTCTTTTTTTTAAAGTAATTGTACCTTTGAGAAAATAGTCTGTCATGTCTTTTGCGAAATATGCTACTTTTGTGATTGCAGTTATAGATAATTGAAAATGTATTTCTTTGCAAATCATGATTCCAGCCAGAGAGGTCAAATGAATCTCATTATCATTTGAGTAAAACCCTACCACTTACAATAATTGCATGTTTCTTCAACTTTGGGCACTTTTATATCCAAGGGGTTGATTTTTATTAAAATGAACAGATTTAAACTTTTTTTCTGTGACATGAAGGTCATGTTAAAATGTATCACATCAAGTCTTTTTACCATACTTTCATCATTTATTTAGATGCTTTTATAATAGATTTGATTGTTTTCCCAAAGTAGCAAAATAATCATAAACATCTAAATAATAAACATCTGCATAAATTATTTACATTTATTGAAATAAATATTATACCCAAATATATGTTTAGAAGTTGTTATTTATTCATTTAGCTATTTATTTATTTATTTGCATTATGTTATATGAAATATCATTATATAACTTTGTTACAAATTACTGCAAGTTAACTAAATGTATTTAAAAAGTGTGTTATCCACAAAGTCCAGAAAGCCAGATGTGCCCCTAGTTAAACAAACACCCAATTATACATTTTCCATGTCGGAAAAGCGAACCAGCGCACAACAAGAAGAACAATGTGCCATCAGATGATTTCCAGAGGCCAAAGCCATTTCATGGCCTGTTAGTTTTATCTATTGGCCTGTAATGAGCACGCTGTCTTTCATCACAGAAATGCGCAACATGTTTATTGTGCTCCATTGGATGAAAATGCATACGTTTAAGTTTTCATGCAGACATGACAGGCTAGTGATCTGCTCTGTTAGCCTGTTCTGACCCTCTGCAATTCTCTCAAATGTCAATGCCAATTTCTTCCAAATGACATTCATCAGTTTAGTGGTTTGAGAACAATATCCATCTTTCTGGAATCTTTATGTACTCATAAAGAAAGCTATTGGCAGGGTCCCAATCATCCAGTCACGTTTACACAGAAATTCATGCCATTCTAACCTCTACATCAGTTGATGTGAAGCTGCATGAGACATAACCGCTGCAGGGGTGCGTCCTCATATTCGGCGTGTGTTCTGTACCGCATGCGTGAGGTACTTCCCCTTGATTTGTCCTCATAATTTCATGAGCTTGCTCGTGGTCGATGTTATTTCCCAGCTTTCCAAAAGCAACATTCCTGTCATCTCGCCTCATCTTGTTCCGCATGATATTTTGGTGTTGAAATCGATTTTTCCTCCATTTTTCTCAAGCATCTGTTCCATCTGGGCTTGACCTCGAACATTGCCATTTTGATTAACAAAGCGAATAACAGGCAACAAAATCTTTTCTTGCCATCCAAAGAGTTTTTAGAGCTCAAGCATTGATGTAATCTTAAGAAAGTTGTGTTTTAAGAATGACCAGCATCCTTGAACGATCCTTGGCGCCCTCTCTTCCTCCTCACCTGACTGAGCCGGTCTGCATATGAAGTCGTTTTTGAATGCAGATGGCATAGAAAGAGTTTTATTGCCACAAACCGTGCACTTCTCAATGTCACGCTTTCTTAAGCAGTCATTTGTGGCATGTAATATGGTAGCTGCTAGTCAGAGCCATTTTCCAGACTATTCTCTCATTATTCAGTGCATGGCGCCATTTTTTGATCTCCATGCATTTCCTCACCATCAGACTAACCTGAGTGCTGTACTGTATGTATGAGCCAGTTTCAACAAAGCCTCATACCTCAAGCTTATGGTTGCAAAGATCTCCGCTGCATTTCCTGTACCAAATCGTGTTCCTGTCTATCAACGTGTCTGTCTTGACGTGTTGTCACGTGATTCTGTTCTCTGTTTGTAAAAATTGTTGGGTTTTCCCCTTTATCCCCTATCTGGAATTCCATAGGAGGGCTTCTGCTGATTAATGATACGCTTCCGAATTATTCCGTAGAGCAGTTCTGCTGTATCATTCTCAAATTATTTCTCTGCACACAGACCTCATTATTTTAAAGTTCATGCTTGCATGCAAACCAAAAAAGTTATATTTCTGTTATGTAAAGTTGCAGATGTATTTTTTAGAAAGTTGTAAATAAACCCCACACATTTTGTTTATTCTGAAACACTTTTAGGGGAAGTCGTGGCCTAATGGTTAGAGAGTCGGACTCATAACCCAAAGGTTGCGGGTTTGAGTCTCGTACCGGCAGGGATTGTAGGTGGGGGGAGTGAATGTACAGCGCTCTCTCCCACCTTCAATACCACGACTGAGGTGCCCTTGAGCAAGGCACCGAACCCCCAACTGCTCCCCGGGCGCCGCAGCATAAATGGCTGCCCACTGCTCCGGGTGTGTGTTCACGGTGTGTGTGTGTGTGTTCACTGCTGTGTGTGTGCACTTAGGATGGGATAAATGCAGAGCACTAATTCCGAGTATGGGTCACCATACTTGGCCACATGTCACGTCACTTCACTTCACTTCACTAAATGGGGCTCATTTTCAGAGTGTTTAAATGATTCGGTAGTACAGTATTTCCATTTGAACAAGACAAAAGGTGAAATGAATTAGGAATTGAGGGCAAGAAGCCTCCAGAGACTCAATTATCTGTTTGACAGAAGCATCTCTCACTCTTATAGTTTATGGTACAGTTTGCATATGCAGGAATGGTTCAGTGCGATGTATTAATATTAAAGTTGCATTGCAGATTTGTGTTGGCGTGTAGTGTAATACTAATCAGTTCTAAAGAGCAAAGTTCTACATCTTTCCAAGTGCGATTTGTTCAGGCTTATCACTGTCTCATATTGAGGCTTTTGATGAAATAATTACGGATAATTAATTAAAACGAAAATTTTGTTAAAATGAAAAACAAGCTCCAGTTTTGCTTTGCTGTGATAGCAATTTGTTTGTTTCTGCTAAAAAAAAAGAAAAGTCCCATGATATTTTTCTGTCATTAAAACGTCAGCTTGGCTCAAACCAGATAAAGATGAATGAAGAATGAGATGGGTCATTTCTGTAAAGCAGTACCTTTTGAGTTCTGTAACTTTTGTAATAAAAAAAAATAGAATTTCTACTAAAGGGCTTGGCAGACTTTCAGAAATATGGTCAAGCTCAACAAATTCGAGAAAATTAACAGGATGCCCAACAGAATGGAAATAAAAGTCGTTTCTCGGAGAAGGAATTGAGAGTTACTGCTTACAGCTTGAGGGTTTTAACTTTTTAAACTTTTTAATCATCTTTCATGTTTTAAAGTGAGATTAAACCACAATCAGTATAGAATTAATGTAATTTTGTTAGTTAAAGGGACATTATGGGGGGGGGGGGAAGTTATGACTAACCCTGACTAATATGATTGCCATTTTAAAAAACTATCCATTATATTACAATTAAACATGCATTGCCATTCAAAAGTTTTGGGTCAGTATTTTATTTTATTTATGTTTTTTTTTTTAAGAAATTAATACTTTTAATCAGCAAATATCACAGTGAATACATTTTATAATGTTACAAAAGATTTCTAAATGCTGTTATTTTGAACTTGCTATTCATCAAAGAATCATTTAGAAGAAAATGTATCACAGTTTCCACAAAAATATTAAGCCCCATGTTCATTAACTGCATAGTAAGAATGACCCAAGAAACATTTTGTCATTCTCTGCTCACCTTCATGTTGTTTAAAACCAGTATTAAACACAAAATTACAAATATTTTCCTTAAAAGTGGTCCACACTATACTCCAAGACTTCTGAAGCCATATAATATCTTTTTCTGTAATAAACAGATCAAAATGAGACATAACTAAATATGGCTCCTATGAAGTCTATGTGAAATATGCTGTCTCTGAATTGCATTTGTAGGACTCATTTCTCTTCCTTATACGAACACCAGATGGCATTATATGCTGCACTCATGATTTTAGATTCACACAATACTAAGAAATTTCCAAAAGATGCATATGTAATGAGCTGGATTTTAGTTATTAGCCTGATTCAAGCAGATATCTACTTTTTAAGAATACGTGTAGCTTGTTTTGTCATGCTGATTAGACAGAGGTGAGCGTCTTTTTAGACTCAAAAGCAATTAGATGCCGTTGGAATGCAGGAAATGAATAAAAAAACGGTAGAACAAAGGAAAGAACGGTCCAGATTAGAGAGCCAGTATTGCTTGGCCCCATC